CCGGCAACACCAGTTTGGTTGTCGATTTCCTCCTAAACCAATTAAACCGGTTGAAATAAAAAAAAAATAACAAAAGAAAAATATGAAGAGACAAAAATGCATTTACTAAAATATAAAAAATCATGAAAATAACTAAAAGTGTTCAAAAACAATAGTCTGGACTGTTAAATGACAAAAACGATAGTCTGAGACTAAATTTGGAATTGTTACAAAAAACAAGGGACCTCTGGTGAAATTAATCCAAAAGAATACTCTAATCGATAAATATAAAACTAAAAGAACTATTTCGTAAAATTATAAGGATTAAAAAAAATTTATTTTTAAACTATCACCAACAATTTAGTTTGATCTCACTACTACTACTTATTAAATATCTAAGATTTACAAATTTGGTCCACATGAAAATATTTTCTTGTGAGATTTTTTTTTTCTTTCCAAATATGAAGAAAAAGATATATATCTTATCTTATTTAATTTTGTGAAAAATAAATCATTTGCTATTTAACTTGTATACTAATTGCATTCAAAAACTTGTATACTAATTATTTTATTACTTTATTTCTACCAGCTAAAAAATTGAATCAAGATTTCAAATAATTTTTGTTCGTTACAAAATTTAAATCCAATTCGTCTTCAATTCACAAATAAAACTTGATCGAGGTTAGAGATCCTAAATCCGATCCCGTAATTTATTATTCATTCCATTTGTCATTCAATGTCTCAACTACTGACGGTGCTCCCACTTATCCACGTGCTCTCACTTGATTGGTACGCCATTTATTGCCGCTTTTAGAGAGTCCACGTTGGATGAGTTCACAGTGGTGAGACAGGAAAAGCATCCGTCTCCATGTGTCGGTGAGGAAAGGGTATCAAATGTACTCTTATTAAAATTATAAACTTTAAAATATACTCTTATTAATCGTATCGTCGCATACATGATAACGAAAGTTCAAACTAATTGGTAAATTTTAATCTGCGAAAATCTTCTTCATTTCTAAAATCTTGTATTTTTTTTTTTATATTATTACAATTATGATAAATATTCGTAAATGATTTTGAGCCGTAACCTACAAAAGTGGTAATTGCTTTGCATTCCAACTATCTAAACGGCTAAACAAATATAGCCCTTTGTGGCTTTGTTTAGCTTATAGGTAATAATTATTTCCGCTTATTTTCTCATGACTATTAAATCTTTGTTAGATTTGGTTTCCAGTTTTGTTTTGTCATATTATGTGCAATGTTTGGTTAATGATTAAAAGTTTTAGAAGAATTTGATTTTTAAAAAATTAAAATTTACTGAACTAACTTAATTAGTACGGAGCAATAAATAAGTTTATAAAATATGTGTGTGCGTGCATATTATTAATTTCTTCGGTTAATTGAAATATAATTTAGTTTGATTAATTTTGTAAATTGTATTTTAATTCAGTAAACGATTTGATCAAAATAAAATTTGATTAATACGATTTGAAATTAAGGAAATAATTCTTAAAGGTAGTAACAAATAATATTATTTTCAATGACCAATTGGTATTTTATTTGATTTATGTGGTGTTTGGTTGGACGCTTTTGTATCTTACTATCCTATTTGTTTTTGTTTTTTTTTTTTTTTTTTTTTTTGTTGTTTTTTTGTTGTTGTTGTTGTTGTTGTTGTTGTTGTTATTGGTACATTTGAAGCCCATATAAGCAAGCATTATCTTACCCAAAAGGCTGAATCCCCAACCCTAAGGATCTCCCACTCTCCGACCCGACAGAGCATGTGAGAGGATGTAAATCACAGTAAGCGAGCATTATCTAAGCCTTAAGCTAGGCGTTAGGTCCGAGAAAGCTATCCTGTTTGATTCTAATTACAATGTTTGTTTACCTATTTTTTATACTCCACTATTAGATTAAAATCTTTTAGTAATCATCAGCGTTGCCAAAAATTGCACCTAGGTGCTAGACGGTCGGCCTCCTAGATACCTTGCGATTTTTTCAACATTGGTAATCATGAATCTATTCCTCTTATGGTCATTCTCCTTTACCTTTTTATTAATGGAATTAAAAAATGAAGAAAAAATAAAAACAAGTAAAAGCTGTGTGTGTGATGGTTCACACGTGCAAAGAGTCTCCAAGTAAAAAATGTGGTGAGATATGAACCGTTGATCTAATCTATATCAATGGCTCAAATCATTTTTTTTTTTTTTAAAAACATGTTTCCTGGAACTGATACAATCTCATCCCACTATTGTTGAACTAATGCACCTTAATGTTCAAAATTATGCACCTTTTTCAAACTGACGCACCTTAAATGTGAAACTGATTCACCTTAAAAATATCAAACCGATGCACCTTAAATGTCAAACTAACCTTAAGTGTTGAATTGGCGCACATTAAATGTTAAAAATGACGCACTTTAAGTGTTAAATGACGCACCTTACTTTTTAAAATGACGCACTTTGTTGTTAAAATGACGCACATTAAGTGTAGAACTTAGGACATCATCAATAGTAAAGTTTTTTTTTTTTTTTTTTTTTTTTTTTTTTTTTTTTTTTGTGATTTTTGAGGAGTTTTTGCAAATGTGATTAGGAAAGAGAAGATGAGTAGGAAGAGAAAAAATAAATAAAAAATCTGATTTTAAAAATAAAAAAATTCGTAAATGAAGTAAAAAATGCGCCCAGCTGGTGCAACTGTAGTTCTCACGCAATTTCAGTGCAGCTATCATTTATTTGTGGCGGGTCCCACTTTCTGCAAAGAACCCCATATTTGCAGGACCAACTTTCATCTTCTCTCACTTGTTTCTCTATCTTCCATGTTGGCATTTATTCCTAAAAAACTATGAACAATCCCCCTAATGGGGATGCTCTTATAGATCTTATGTGTATAACTGACGCACCTTAAGTGTTAAAATGACGAACCTTTAGTGTAAAACTTATGCACCTTAAGTGTTAAAATTACGCAACTTCAGCTTTCAATAATACGCAAAATTGTCATAATGCCACTGCATTTTTTTTTTTAATTTGTCTTCATTCTGGACTATTGATTTTGACAAGATCAATAACTATGATTATTCTGCATGTTTCACCTGAGAAAGCTTCCGCACCTGATTGTGTATATATATATATATATATATATATATATATATATATATATATATATATATATATATATAGACACACACATGTATGTGTATATATATGTATTATATATCGTTATATATTTATTTAGATTACAATTCCTACTATTTACCAAAAATTTTATATAATTTTCCTAACACTAATTGCTAGTACTAATTATTTTTATTTCTAATCGGCTAATCCAGTTATGGTTCTTATATCCCAATCAAATGTGACCTTAATATAACTTTCACAATAAGTTCTAAAGTTCTTCCAAAAGGCTGAATCCCAATCTTAAGGGTCCCCTACACCTCGACCCGACAGAATATTTGGGAGGATGTAAATCATGGTAACTCAACGGAATAAGTTCTAAAGTTCTGTTTTTATTCTTTCGTGGATATCTTATACTTTTTGAAGACAAATATCAAACAAAGAAATATGATATATTTATTCAATATATACTTAAATCATCCACCTGTATTTATATAAAAAAAAATGATATTATTTGGTGAATGATATTGGGTAATATATAACTCCGTATTTCATAACTATTATACGGAGTTATATATTATATTGGGTAATATATAACTCCGTATTTCATAATTAAAAAAAGAAAAAAAACGTGCCTATGACGACAGAATCTTAAAGTAATTCCAATCTAATTCCCGCGGCATTCAACGCGGCATTGGTTTTGGCTTTTCGGTTAATAGTTCTGCTATCCCACTCTTCTTCTCTCTCAAATTATATAAAATAAAAAGAGCCGTACAGTTAATAGCTTATTATTGCAGAACACAGAGTGCGTGATCACATTCTCTCTTTCAGAAACCAACATACATGTCCGCACATACTCTGTATATCGGCTTATGAATATATACAAAGCTCGATCTCGAGATTAAACTTCAAAAGTCGAATCTAAAGAGGTAGAGCTGTGATTTTCTGAGCTGTTTTTGATATGTATGTGTGAACTGAAATGTTTGTTCAATCTGGATTTATATAGTTATGCTGTGTATGTATAGGTGCAGATGCAGTGGACAGGGAAGAGTGAGCTTGGATCTGAAGGGAGAAGTGAAATGAGATGAGAGTTTCGTTGGGCGGAAATTGAGGATTCAGAGATGAAGTTTTACATATCGGCGACGGGGATTAAGAAAGTTACGATTTCGAATTCTCGTTCCGTTGAAGGCGGAGAAGTTTTCGCCGGCGGGATGAAGGCAAAAGGATCGCCCCGTATCGGTCGGCGGATATCTCACAAGACGGTGATGTTTCCGGCAATATTAACGCTTTGTTTGCTTTGTTCCTTTCTCTTCGTCAGAATCGCTTTTCTCTTCCTTGAATCTGCTGCCATTTGCTCCTCCTCTCTCGGTAACTTTGTTTCACTTTTATTTTTCATTTTTTACTTTGAACTTTTTTTTTTTTTTTTTTTTTTTTTACGGTGCGTCTGTGCCTTAAATTTCGCCATGCGGAATACGCAATAATAATAATATTTTTTTTAATCAATTTGCAGGTTGTCTTGGATGGAGATTTTTCGGCGGGAGTGATTCGGCTCTGGTAATTAATTACCTTTCATATGACTAACTTAACCTAGTATACTACTGCATTATTAACGCCATATTGATTCATTTAAGTGCATTAGTGATCATGCTTCCTGTCTATTTCACCATTGAATAATTTTTTAAAATTCTCGTATTTTAAAATTTATTTTTCGCTATCATTAAATAATAAACTAATATAAAAAGTAAATATAAACAGCATAAATCAATGTAGCCATCACTCAAGTGGATAAGACTATAAGAGTGGATTAGAAGTTTTTATCCGAGTAAAACAAGCACGTGAAACTGCTTCGCTGCGAGCCTGCGATACTTGTATCACTCGGCAAGGGTGTCCACGTGGGGCACCTTGGGAATTTTGAGGCTCACAATCTACGTTCACATGTTGCAACTCTTTTTTTTTTTTTTTTTTTTTTTTTTTTTTGCGGACCAACTTTTTGTAGCGTAGTTGCATTTTACAGAACATACCAAGCTAGACTAGAAAATTCGATTTCAATATTTTTTTCTCATTAAGCTAATTATTAATTGCTCTATTTCACTTGGGGTAAGCTAGCATCGAATTGGGCTTTAAGATGCCTGCCGACAGCCCCAGTTTGATTCTCTTGGAAAGTAGACTTTTCGCATTTTAATAATAATGGACACCCATCATATGGAGACTATTAGAGATGAAAGAGTCAACAATCAACTTTAATTTTCAAATTCAAATCATTCTTGGCCTCAACTTGTGGAATTCTCTATGCTCTTAAATCATTTTTACTGCTCCAAGAAATGGTATAGTACGTAGCTTAGTAATTCTTTTCTTTTTCCTCTTTTTGATGTGGATGTGGGGTGTTAATAATAATAACTTATTCTTTATGTTACTTTTTTTTTTATCCTGCCTAAATTACAACACTAAGTCAACCAATACTTAATTTGATATTGGGTATGAATCTAGGATTTGAAATTTAAGTACAGTTTTTGAGTATTCAATCTTCATGGATGAGCTTAATCAGGAGCTGTCAATAATCAATCTCCACTAGCGAACCTTGCCAGTTGTATAGCAACCTAGCAATAAGTCACTAGATTTTTAGTCCAACTTGATCAGCTTTATCTCTAGAGCAAAAACACCAGGGCAACACTGAGAACGTACGGATTTGCATGAAGTCAAGAATTGGTCTAAATATAATGAGGATAATGCTTCCAACTGTGTAACCCACTTGAACGTGATAAAAGTTGGTTGGCCATTCTCATCTTTATGCTGTCAGACGTCATCATTAATTTAATTTAGTTCTTGTCTGTTCCTTTTCGTAATGATGTGTGTTTTGCCTAATGGATAAAAAAGCTCAGAGAAGAGCTGACGAGGGCATTGCTGGAGGTCACAAGCATTGATGGTGAGAATGGAATTGGGGGAATGGAGGGTTTAACTCCAGTTGCAGCCTCATTCAATGACCTTGTTAAGGAAATGACTTCAAATAGACATGATATCAAGACCTTTGCTTTCAAGGCTAAAGCTACGGTAACAAACTACTTTCACCACCATTCAAAAAAAAAAAAAAAAAAAACTACTTTCACCACCTGCACTGTGATTTTGTTGTTTACTTGGTTTTACTTCTGGGTTGTTTCCCTTTATTCATTTACAGTTAACTCTCTGCTTGACCCAATATATAACTTGCTTATAGCAATACATCTAGCTTGCTTATTGTCTTACATTAAAATATTTAATCAATATTTTCTAAATATATTGTACTGTTTTTGTATACAATTCTCACTGTAATATGGTAAGCAACATTTGAAGATATGAATCTTGAAATTGTGTTGCCACATTAAATGAGGGTGATGGTATGCTACTATTTGAAAGGCCATTGAATCAAATCTTAGCCACATATACCTGCTTGATATTGTTTGTGTTGCAGTGTAACTAAGGCCTTGGAAAAATGCTCTAAATAAATTTGTGGGACCATATTTGTTTTGGCATCTTTCAAATACAACTAGGACCAGTTTGTCCTCTCCTACTCCTATGATGAAATTTGTTTTCTTGGGAGCTCTCTGTACTCGTTTAGTAGGATAAATGCATCTTGCAGTGACAGACCAAAGTTTGTCTAAGTTTATCTTTCCTGAATGGCTGAATATACAGAAAGCTTAGCTCTGAACCTTTTACTCTTCCTGGAATTATGTAACTTGACTTTATTTAATGCTGTCATGATACTTCTTTGAACTTCGGATTCTTTATTACAGAGTATTATTATTATTATTATTATTATTATTAGTAGTAGTAGTACTAGTAGTAGTGTTGTTGTTGTTATAGACACAACTACTTGTTCTTTTACTTGTTGATTCCAGCTTTCAGACTTTCGAAGTACTTTTTTTTTTTTTTTTTGAAGGCACTTTTGAAGTACTTTTAAGAATTAAGATCTTTAGAAAGTATGTCATATTAATTAACAACTTTTTTAGTGCTTGATTCTTGTTTTGGACCATAGTTTCATTTTCAACTAAGCATTTAATGTAGCAATATACAGAGTACATTCTATTTTTGGACTTTTGGTATAAATCTGGGATGTCAATTTTATATAAGGTTTTTTTTGCATGCAGTTGCTACTCCACTAAACTGGTAATTTAACTGCCTTCTATTTCAAGGTGACTTGATATGTTAACTGGGTGCCTTCTGCACCTAGAAAATTGTCAGTGAACTATAAATTGTTGATTTGATTGTTACAGCACCATATATGATAAATTACTACTTATTAAAAGACAATTACTAACAATAATAACAGTGAATGCCTATTTTGCATTTAGATGTTGAAGATGGAACAGATGGTTCAATCAGCCAGGAAGCAGGAGTCCATTTACTGGCATTTCGCTTCTCATGGTGTACCCAAATGGATGCATTGTCTTTCTCTCAAGCTGGCTGAGGAATATGCAGTGAATGCTGTGGCACGATCTCGCTTACCTGCACCAGAATATGTTTCCCGCCTCACTGACCCTTCTTTCCAACACGTTGTTCTACTAACGGACAATGTGCTTGCTGCCTCTGTTGTAATCTCCTCTACCATCAAAAGCTCAATGACCCCAGAGAGGATGGTGTTTCATGTAGTGACTGATAAGAAAACATACACTGCTATGCATGCATGGTTTGCAATGAATTCCGTTAACTCAGCTGTTGTGGAAGTAAAAGGCCTGCACCAATATGATTGGCCTCATGATGTGAATATTGGGATTAAGCAGATGCTAGAGATTCATAACTTGATTTGGGGCCACAAATTTGATAGAGTCAAGGATGAAGTTGCTGCATTTGAAGATAAGCTTGACAAGGATCTAGATTATCAATGGCCAACCAGCATATCCCTTTTGAATCACCTCCGCATTTATATCCCTGAGGTAATTACTTAATTTCATCTGTTTTTCTGATAAAGGATGATCTTCAATGCTGTCCATTTAGTGAAGATTGATTAGTTACCCAATTTCAGCTCTTTCCAGATCTGAACAAGATTGTATTCTTGGATGATGATACTGTTGTTCAACATGACTTATCATCTCTGTGGGATTTAGACCTCAATGGCAAAATTGTTGGTGCAGTTTTTGATTCGTCGTGTGGATATGGATGTTGCCCTGGAAGAAAATATATGGACTATTTCAATTTCACAAACCCATTCATATCATCCAAGTTAAACTATGATCAGTGTGGATGGCTTTATGGAATGAACATCTTTGACCTCCAAGCATGGAGGAAGGCAAATATTACTGCAACTTATCATCAATGGCTTAAATATGTAAGTGCATTCAGTTCAGCCACAATCAATTGCTTTATTGACTGGCATTTCCAGCATTGCTCTGTGCACCACACTGAGGACCATAGATTGAGCAAAGCTTAAACCTTCACAATAAGTCTGGTTAATCTTTGTATGATTTGCAGAACCTCAACTCTGGTTTTGAATTATGGCGTCCTGGAGCACTTCCGCCTGCTTTAATAGCTTTTGAGGGTAAGGTGCAGCCAATTGATCCTTCATGGCATGTTGCTGAATTGGGTGATCGATTTCCACAAGTTGAAGAATCAGTGTTGAAAGCTGCAGCTGTAATACATTTCAGTGGACCAGCGAAGCCGTGGCTTGAGATTGCAGCCCCTAAGATACAAAGCTTGTGGAGCCGAAATGTAAATTTCTCAAATGAATTTGTCAGGGATTGCGGAATTGTGAGCGCAAGAGCAAAGAGGGCGTAAGTCTCTCCTCACTCGGAAAGAAGTTATCAGAGAAATAGTTTGAGTCAGGGGGAAGAAGGTATTGCCTTCAGTCTCTGCTTATACTACTGAGATTGTTTTCCTTGTCCATAAAATAGGGAATAGATGAAGGTAGCCCTATACAGTCTTGAAATCTGACTTTAACGACATCGATATATATAGCATATGTCATTATGAGTAAATAGAACACTATAATTCTGGTTCTTAGTCAACCAATATGGCAATATAATGCTTTAAATCATCGCTTCTTCCTTTTTATGCAAACAGCACCATACAGGACTAAAACATTAAGACATGTATTATGAGTTATTTTGTTTGTGATAGATAGGCGGTCCTTTCTGATTGATGCATCTAGAAGGTAGCAAAGGAAACAACACCATTGTATATATTAGCAGAGAGCTTTAGATGTCTGAACCACTGGAAGGATGGATCAAACAAGAATATTCTCTCTCTAAACCCGATTCAAATTCTTAAGCACAAACGGGCAAGCAGCTAATTAGAGCCCATTGCTGAACTGGAAATAACTTGTTCTTCTGATCTTAATGAACGATTTTACAAAACTATAAAAAAGCAGAAAAATAAACAAGGTGATGCATTCCCATGACAGAATAGATAGCAGACGTACAGATCGACCTGATTGCACTTAAGGTCTTTCCCAGGTCAGTTACCTGTTCCAAATTAAAGCATCATCAGCAGAAAGAAGAAAAAATCATCAAATCATTATATTGCCAATCATGCATCTTTGTTGAAGACAGTAAGAGAGCAAATTAAAACACGTACACGAGTTGAAGAGCTGTTTGGTCGTGGCGAGAGTAATGTTGATTAGGCTCGAGGAGAGTTAATGGAAGAAAGTTGTGAGCGTCGTAAGTCTGGGAAGTTGTCATAGTCTCCTGGTATTCAGATCCTGGCATCAGGTTCATTTGCTGTTGTGCTCTTTCAAACTCAGATATCTGCAATATCATTCATTTCACCTTGCATAAGCTTCTACAGTCAGTAAGTAGAACTACCTATCTAATCCGCGGTATGGTATAATATATTACATTCTGTACTAGAAAGTCTTTTTAAGGTCAAGAGATCGAATCAGACCTTTGCTCGCAGATACATGTTGGCATTTTGCAGTTCAATCTCCTGGAAGAAGTTGCACCAGTAGAGTTTGAAAAACTTATATATAGCAAGTGCAAGCTAAGGATGAAAGCAGGCATACATATATGATATATATGAACATTTTCATCCTTAATTAATTTGCAAGAAACAAGATAAACAATGAGTGCTTACCCTCTTTTGCATCAGCTCTATCTCAGAAAACAGCAACTCATTCTGGAAATACAAACCCAGACTTCAGAATCCTACTATATACATACTTATAACCCAGAACCTACTCAAGATCCATGAGGAAGTAAATCGAGTCTGCCTAGGTATTTAAATGTAATTCTAGTTTACTTAATCATTTAGGAGCGGAGTACACACCTTTTTGGAGCGGACTCTTCCAATGGCTTTCTCCACTTTCCCTTCCAGATTCTTGAGTTCCTTGTGGTTTAAAACGCCGAGCGACTCTCCAAGAATTTGCCT